GCGCTCACTGACTTCATCAAGCCCGTGAGCAGTATATACGCCCAGATTTTAAAATAATTTCTTAATAAAATCAAATTTTGGTCTTTTGAAAAAAATTTTACTATAGAAATGTTCATTAATAAATTGCCTATCCATTGGTGTAAATCGCAAAACAAAATAATACTTACTTTACGAGGAGATGCATGTTATCAATAATAATTTCACATTTATGTGGTTTCGTTGTAAGGAGATTATATTAATATGTATTCCTTTAAAAAAAAATTGGATATAGCTTTTATGGAATCAAGATTATGTAGAAATATAATGTGTTTTTTATTTGTTGATATATCTTTTAAATAAAAAGTAGATAGCTCCTAAAAATCGCCCAAATAACGACTAGCGCGACATTTTGCTAAACCTGCGCCTTAACTTCGTTTTTCGCAACTGAACCGCAACTAGGTTTTCCGAAAATATTGAAAGGCTATGAAATTGTGGTTTAGCGATTAGATCTTGAGCACCTAAAGCTTTACCCTGGTTCTCCCAGTGCGTAACTAATTTTATGTTAACCCTTTTTTCAATATTCTCCATAGTCTTACCGAAGACTGAATTATTCATTAATTTATAAAAATCTTTTTCGAAATCTGATTTTGCTAAAGTTCTTAATTTTGTGTTTAGATCTATGTACATCTTCAACCAGGGAGACTGTTTAAATTTTAAAACTCTATGAATTTTAGTTAATTTAACCCCCATTTCTATGCACTGCTTTAAATTTCTGTAATGAATTACATATTTATCTTTATTATTTAAATTTGGGACTAGTTTATTCTCATTAATATTGCCTACACAAATGTTTTCTGGACATGAAGGAAAGTCCGAATGTAAATCATGAAGTTCATCTGGATATTCCAAATCAACTTCTAAAATAAAACCGAAGTCTGATGTCTTAGACACATTAAATTCTGTATTTGGATTTACCCATTCGAATCCACCAGTAGGAAGATATTGAGACATAGCCCAACCATATAAATTGTTGGCATCAAAATATGTGATATATGAATTTGGTTTCCCTGTATCATAATCCTCCATGTATTTGTTATTAGCTCTAGCATAACGATTACTACATTGAGATACACCACCTCTGATACCTGATCTAATAAATGCAATTTTCTCATAATCTGTTAAAAGTTCTAATTCTATTTTTGTATATTTTAACATTGCATCCCAACTTAAACCGGGTGCTGTGTAATAATGGACAGGGTCTAAATCATATGTATTAATACATAACTTTCTAAAGTTTTCAAATACATCGGATAAAAGTAAAACGTCTGTTTTTAAATATAGGTTTGAATAATCTAGCATATTACAACACCCAAAATGTTCCCAAACATCTTTAGCATGATTGTAATCATCATTTGAAATATGTGAATCTGTGAGTGAACTATAAAAACATTTTTGTTCAGGGAGCGATGTTAGACTTAAACTATCATAATTAGTCATAAGTTCATATGGATAAACACCTTTCCGTTTTAAACGAAAGAAATCTTCATCATTAGGGTAATTTCTACGTAATTCTTGAAATTGATCATTACTGAGATTTTTGGCCAATTCTTCTAATTTACACGATAAAAACTTAAATGAATCTAAGAATCTCAATATAATTTCGTGGTTATTCACTTTTAATTTTTTGGAAAAGGATATATATTTTTCTTTATTTTGAGGGATAACTTCGACTTCACCATCACAAAAGTTTAACGCGTGAACAATAAAATGAGCATCATAGTGACTAAGGTTGTGTAAAAATATTGGTATATAACTAGGTGTTCTGATCTTCGAACAACATGATTCATGAGCAACACCTATAAAACTACCAGTGTACCAATCAAAATCATAAAAATGTTTTGCCAACTCAGTTTCACAAATATGACAAATGGTTGCATTTGAAATTTGGTTTTTGTCTTCATTTGTTAGCGGAAGTGGTGGATATTTTTGAAGTCTATTTATTTCTTTTAGATTGTTAGATAAACTTTCCATAAACACTTGTGCACAGTTGGGTCCGCAATATGTTACATATTTTGATAATTTATCATCATATGAACATTTTATATAATATCCAAAACTATGTACTTCATGTTTCTGAATATTATGAGTGAAAGGTTTGGAAGGATCGTTAGAACATGATTCTATTGGTTTTAAAAATGCTTCAAAATCAGCATAAACTACGAATGGTATCTTTAACTTTTTTTCATAACTATCAAATTTAATTTTATCATTTGAAATAGGTTGACCAAACCAATTCTTTTTTTTTTAAAGTTTCACTGTTCGGTAATACTGTACAAATGTGAGCACAATCGTATTGTTCATGGTTATTTAACCTTTCCTGAGATGGAAAACGAAGTAGACATGCTTCACAAATGTACATGATGTGACCGTCTTTTGAAATTTGTTTACTAACTAACCGCGATAAATTTTTTATATAGCAATAATGATTTTTTGTATCCTTGGAAAAAAATAATAAATTGATATGTCTATCTTTACGACACTTTGTTAAAAATAATGGACCTACTATAGAATTACATCGTTTTTCTTTATTATATTCTAACCCAAAAACATTAATACTAATATCATTTAATTTCTCTACTTTTGCTATGTCAGAAATTTTAACCGGAAAGGAAATACCATCAAATTTAAGTTTATTTGCATGTTTAACGTACGATGATACCCGATCGGTGTGTTTGTTTACAGGATATAACGCCGAGAGTAACGCCCATTTAAAACAAAAATAATCCTTGTTTTTTACATTTATAACAGCCTTTTTTAATTTTATGTCACGAGGAAGATCTATGTATGAAGTACCGCGTAGGGGGTTAAATTTATTAACATTCATGTCTATAGATTTTATGTTTTTTAGACTCCATCCACTATCTTTTTTTTCGAAAGCACTAATTTTAGTAGTAATTGTATCATTTAAAGATGAAAGAAAAATATTTAAGTCATCTCCTTGACAAATAATATAGTTAAGCGTTTGAAAATCGAACGTATCATGAATATCTTTAGTTTGTTGAACAAAATCAGCATGCAATATGAAGTTTACCTTAAAAATTATGTGTTGATGAATACACTCTTGTAATAAAAATAAAATATCATCTTTAATAGAATTTAAAAATAGTTCAGGAGTTTCAAAATTTACCCATGTCGAACGATCTACTCTACTCTTGATTTTATAACTTAAAATCCTATTTCCAAAAGCAGATTCAATAACACTAACGTTTGATAAAGAATTATGTGAATTTAAAAGATTATTTTTATGAACATTACTTTTAAAATGATTAGCTAAATACCGTTTCTTGATAAATATATGGCACGTTGGACATTCCACTTGATCATCGTTACTGATACTGTTCCCTGCAGAGGTATGCGCTTCTGCTTCCGTTGTTGGTTTTTTGATGATCTTGGATTCTTTGCTGCGCGTTCGCTTCGTTCCTCTTCCAAGTTGTAGTGGTTGACTGCTAAAATGTTTAAATTTATTAAAAACTGTATAAGACAATATGTAAATTATGATCGAAATGAATGTTTATTTTACATACTTAAACTGTGTTTCAACCATCGCACAGTGATGATACAACTCATCATCGTTTGACGAATCGAACAGTTGACCCCTCTCCATTTCTTCACAAACTTTAGACAACTCCTGATTTAATTCGCTATTGAATAGTTCCGTATTCTCTTCCATGATTGTGGAGAAAAAAGCACTGGTGCACACTTCACTGAAGTTTTCCCTTCCTCTTTTTTATTTTTGATTCAGCTTCAAAAAAATGATCAATCGATTGCGATTTTCTTTTTCCACCATCGCATGTGTTATTATTAATGACGAGGTTATCACTCTCTTCTTGAGGGGAGAGTGGCGAGTAGTAATACTGTTTATAGGTATCTTCATCGAAGCTCAATGATTTCTGCAACAACACAGTTATCATGTTAATATCAATTTGTTAACACTTAATCATAAAAGTTAAAAAAGTTAAAGTTACAGCCTATTAAAGTCCACTGCTGAACATAGGCCTCCTCTCATTTCTGAGAGGGTTTTAGAGCAAGGAAATGTCCGCCGCGCTCCCTCAATGTGTGTTGGCGAACTTCACATGCCTTCGAAATTTTCTCAGACATGCAGGTTTCCTCACGATGTTTTCCTTCACCACCAAGCACGTGGTAATAAGCACTTAAAATTGCTATTAACAATTTAATTGGTGCTGGCGGGGATCGAACCCGGGTCGCGTACTGTGAAATTTACAGCTAGCGCTAACCATCTGAGTTACCACGGCTTAATCATATACATACACAATATTTAAATAAAATAATACACACACATGAAAATAACAGAAAAAAAGTAATTTAGTCAATAGAATAAACACTTACATCCATAGCCTTTGGTGTATTGAAGTAACACAAATGTACTATTGATAGATCCACTGTAGCCAAACGACCGTACACTAACTCGATGACTGCGTTTGTTGGTCTTATATACCACCAGTACGTAAAAATTCTAATCTAAAGTATTTCCGTAATGAGTTGATAATTACTTTATGCGTCAACCAGTTTATCTCACATTTCCGTTGCCTATCTCAACATTTCTTCGTATTGTGTTTTGTTTGGTGATCAATGACTCAAGTACGATTTGTATAACACAAAAATGCAATTTAATATTTAGAAACATATCAGTTTATCTCACATTTCCGTTGCCTATCTCAACATTTCTTCGTATTGTGTTTTGTTTGGTGATCAATGACTCAAGTACGATTTGTATATCACAAAAATGCAATTTAATATGTAGAAATCACTATAATTGACCATTCCTATGTTATTCATTGAGTAGCTAGGTACTGTAATAATCTACTAATAGCAGTAATATCATGGATACACTAGATGTACAACAACATCTGAAAAAGATTCACCCCAGTCTAGAAAATAATGTTTATGCAGCTAATAGACTGCCTATGTATACCCACGTACCAACGTATATAATATGTAATTTGGATACAGATGATAAACCAGGGTCACATTGGGTAGCTTTATATATCGATACGAATGACGTCGGTCAATATTTTGATTCATATGGACGATCACCTGTACGATATCATCTAGAGTTTTTAAAAAGGAATTGTAAAAGATGGAACTGGAATGTTGATAGGATTCAGAATGAGTGGACTTCAGTTTGTGGCGAATATTGCTTAATGTATTTGCTATATAAGTTTCAAGGATGTTCAATAGATAGTTTTACGAGTATATTTACAAGGAACACATTGTACAACGATATTTTAGTGGATGAGATGTTTCGCTCCTATTTTATAGATAATAATTAATAAGATTTTGTATTTTATAAATAAAAATTGTAACAAAATTATGTAATGTGTTTTATTGATGATTCAGATTAGCGTTGTATAAACAAAGAATTATAATAAACAATAGCACTGATATAGTCGACGCACACGCTGCAATGAAGGTGATTAAGGAACAATAGAACAATAGAAATAGGAACAACAATGGGACGCTAATGACGGTGGAGGCCCTTACCGGATATCAATTAGATATTAGCTAATTGATCTACACATCTCCGGAACCGTGCATTCTACACAAAAATGGACCGCGGATTCGTGATCAGAGCATGCCAAAACCTTTTTTTTTTTTTTTTTTTTTAGGATCGGGCGTCGACGAACGTCGTTGAACCACGTCTGACTCAGGTGGTCTAGAAGTGGTACAACTACACTACTTTAGTTTATGAGGAAATTGTTTTTTTATGCAAAGAATAAAAATAACAACTAATAAAAATATTTTCTAGGTGGCATTACAATAAAGAATCTATATTCTTGAATATTGTGTATATTTTGATTAATTCAAGGAATGCGCTTACTTACCCCATATGGGTGCGCACAGTTACCCGCATCGTGGGTCAAGTGAGCGCATTTCGATTTTATATAAATAAATGCTTACTTAGAGAAAAAACCACCAAGTTTTCTATTCTTATTTTTATTTCAATTTAGAGGCTACTATATGGTTTATCTCAGAGTCGTCTTTTATTTTCCTAACTCTCTTATTTTATGCGTAGTGAACTAATAGTTACCAAAGTGCGAACACTTGACTCGAATGACTCTATGCTCTTTTCTTGATGGTCCCTAAGTAAGGTCCAGAAAAATCACCGGTAATAAACGCTTCCACATAGGAGTCGTACGAGGAAGAAAACTCCTAGTGAACCATACAGTGGTGAACCGCCAATTATCCAGATGTTGTGGGTAGTATCGCGAATTTTGACGCGACGCACGTTCGTGAAATTTGGCGGCTGAGATTAATCCGAACAATTTCTCAGAACCCTTCCCGTAGTAGATGCGATAGAAGATGCAAAGGGATGCAACATCTCTTCGCAGCGCCAATGAATCGAGCATGTTCAGCACTGGACTTGTGGAGGGTTCTAATGATAATGATGATGAATCGAAATCAGTGCGTTTCTTCAGCTACATTGCGACTTACTAGCAGATCGATAATAAGTACCTAAACATGTCATGATATGAATAAGCTTTTAAACCACAAGAGTTTCTCCCACCCTGATTTAAAAGCATTAGGGGTAAAAATGATAAGTTAGGCGCCTCGATATGTACATTAAAAAGAGTGCATCTACAATATATAATAAAATTTATCGAATTTAATGATGATTTTGATGATAGTTTTTATAAAAACTTAATTTCGTTAAAAGTTTATTAAACCATCGTCTATCAATGTTTTGTGTTCATAGGACATTTTTTATCGGATAAGATGCAATAATTTTAACATCTCTTTTCCGGTGGTATTATTAAAAGACGACCGGATAAGTGACGAGCTATTCAGTTAATTTGTAATGCTTTTAAACCTTTACCCCTTTGAACAAAAAAAAGGTCAGTCGAAAAGCAAATTAGTATAGAAATTGCCACGCCACTTAACTAGCAGGCAAAACAGTTTAAAAGGAGTCGCGACGTCAAAAAAATTCACACCACATTTTGTACAACATTTATCCCTTACCATTGGAATACAGTTAAAGGTTTCCATGAATGAGATACGAGTTGTTCGTGGCGAGAAAATATGGTTATTAATTTTAAAATAAATATGATAAATAATAACCACATTAACGTAATTAAAGTTAATAATAGAATCTGATAAAATCCTTTAATATTTTTACACATAATATTATGTTATGTCTATATAAATAAAGTTTTTCTTATTTGTCAAAACTCAAAAATAAGAGTCACTTTTTGAAATTATTGAAATATTATTTAGGAATAGTATTACTTAACATTACCTAGAATACCATTACAAACCAATTTTAAATGTAGTATTTTCGAATATGTGCGTAAAATAAATTTAAAACTCATGTCAGTTATTGACGAGTTTGCATAGTTAGGGACTTGTAGTCTAGACGTGAGGCGTCGACCACCCGGCCGCGGTCACTTCACAAACGACGGCGACAACACTTGATTTCGTCTACCTTCAAGTCGTTGGTGGGCCTTGTCAATGGACGTGCAATTAGCTTTTTTGGGAACGTACTCTGTGGTATCGAATGACATTATTATTAACTGGCAATTTATGAGCCTCCTACAAATTGAGATTATAAGAAAATGATCAATATAAAAAACGTCACAATGTACCTACTATTGAATCATTTCTTACAAAATATTAAAGGAATTTAACATAACCTCTACGTTAAACAGGCGAAATGGTCAATCGCGATTCCAGATGTTTCGCACCTTTACACTACCATCCCGCCAATCTGGGTATAAAATGGTTTGACATCTGGTATAAATACGACATGGTTACATCAATAAACGTAAAGCTTTTCCGTTCCTTATGACACCCAGTGGAACTTACGGACCTGCACTGTCATCATGTAATAATATCAAGTCTATTTTTTTTTATAAAGGTGACAAACGAGCACGCAGTCCAACTGATGGTAATTAGATACTATGGCCCGTAGACATCTACATTTTTCATCAATTAAAAATCAAAATGCAGATGCGTTGTCTCGTTTCCAGTTAAAAATGGTCTCCGGTTCTCTACACTCACTATACGGAACACAGCAGCATTAAGCTGCTATTTTACGCTGGTATTCTGTGAGAGCCTAGAGGACCACTAGGTCGCCTGGAACAATGGGTCATCTCGGGTTCCTAATCCGGTGTCGAGCCAACCCATTCGTGCTACAACTATAATATAACTTCAGCGTGACTCTACCACGTAGTAAATTTACCAATAAAATTAAAGCTGAACAAGCCCCAAAAGGTATACGTACTAACGTTTTTCTGGTATTCTATGAGACCTGTAATCTATTTAGGATAAAAAGTTTTAATTTTAAAATCTTATAACGACTCTATGCGCCATGTCTGCGTGTAAGCATTTCATACAAATCTGGTAAATAAAAACTGAAAAATTGGGTCACCTCTTCGAATCTAGTCGTTTATAGTTCTGAAGATATAAAGGCACTGATTTAGTACTCATCTAGATACATCATTAACCCCGTACACACGCGCGCACTTCACATTACTGCAACTAATTATCCGTTCCCCATTTACGCACCTAAAAAAATACGTAATTATGGATATAAAACCTCTTTCGTCGTAAAACACCCAGATAAAAAGGTCGTGAAGGCACTTCCTTCGTTTAATCCCCCATAAAATGGTTCTGTGAGTCCATTAACACTATTTTTACGCATTTTCTTCAATTTCATTGAACGCGCCGTCCTCAATGAGGCTCATTTTTAATTTAAAAAGTTCTAAAATAACGCTCATTGTTTATATTAATTTTTAGTGTACAACGTAAACTGTGTGCCGAATTTTCTAATCTTAAGGCCATCTTGACAGGCAATAACGGCTAAAATGGCGTAATATAGGAAGAGTCATCTGTTAGGATGTTGTTTGAGGAAGCTATATTCAAGACAAGCGATTGACGTCTTTAACGAACCTCTAATGAATTTATTGGCGCTTGTTAGACGGAAGTGGAATGTTGTCGAGTCGCATTTAGTATAATCTAATATAAATATGAAAAAATACTTCGACATAAATCTCAATAGGTTTCATAGTTTCAGTTTTTTTTAGTTTCATATTTATACGATATAATAATTATATTATGGTACATTTAAAACCTAATATAAATACGTAGTAAGTTTTTAGTTTTTTTTCAGATGCCATTATATTTTTCAAAATAATATGTAGGTACGGCAGGATTGCTTAAATATTAATATACATGAATCTCCTTAACTCTTTTTACAAATAGTTATTCATTAATTGTAACAAAGAAAGATGTAAATAGGCGAAAAACAAAAGTATAAAACTATAAAACGGTAAATATGATACCATAAATTATAATAGATTAATTGAATAAATAAAACTAGTTGCCGCTTTAATAGTAGGTACTTAAAGCATGAATAAAACATTTAAAAAACTTAGCAATTTAAAAGCATGGAGTTGCATTCAACTCCATGGTTTTAATAGTTGGCCCGTGTGCGCACTGCGATATTTACAAGGAGCATCCGGCGCACAACTATTACTTAATAGCCGTTTGCGACTCACCGCGCTAATGCTTTGCTTGCCTTCTCAAACTTCATTGGCTCCTCGTAGCTTAGCACCATTTTGAATACACTTGCAAAATAAAATAAAAAACACAACGTGTGACATAACAAAAAAACAAATTGATTAATCGTCTTTCTATTTATTTTTTAATTGTGGATTTGTGAAGAAAATCATACTGAAAATTAGTGCTACATGGTGCTAAAGATAATTTATAAAAAAATATACGTTAGACAACTGTTGGCATATTCGATATAACATGATTTTATCGTTGTTGATTAATGACGTAATATTGTGCCTTATGTTATCATTTTGACAGATTTTTAATTATAAATCTCAGCATCATCATCACTATAGCCTATCATAGGACAATCAACAACTAAACCTATGCCCCGCCAAGTAATAGACAAAGCACGGTTTTAAGTCACATGTACTCGTCGATTTCATATTCAATGTTCACAGTTTATAAGAAATTAAACTGATAGAGAATGGCTAAAGGCCGCCCTTTATAATCACTATTTGAAAGTTTTTTTTTTAAATAAAATGTAAATAAATAAAATAAAATAAATGAACAAAGTTTGAGAACCTCTGCAGCTTTGCGGCGCAGCGCAGATTTTTTTAACTAAAGCTGTAACACGATATTAAAATTGAGTTAAAACAAACAAACGGCCCAGTGACTTCATATCAAAAGGGTTTTTAATATTACGTAACAAGGCGATAAACATTGAATCATTACATACGCTAGAATATTTTTAAATTATAAAAGTAATTTAAAACTGAAATTGTTAATTAGAGCTAATGCTATATCCCGCTGTTTAGAATTTTATAAATCAGCTTTCATTTCCGGTCGTCTGAATAATATGAAATTTTACAGACATATACAATAGAATAAGACGTATATAATAAGAACATATTATATTTCATTTCATTAAACAGGTATACCTCAAAACTTGAATACGAGACTGTACAACCAGTGATGACCTATGGAACTGAGACGTGGTCCTTCACTGCTGGCCGGATGAAGAAGCTCAAGGAGTTTCTCTGCGTGATAAACTTAGAAATGAGGATATCCGCTGTAGAACCAGAGTGACCGACATAGCCCACGGATTAGTAAGCTGAAGTAGCAATGGGCCGGCCATATAGCTCGAAGAACCGTCAACCGATGGGGAAAGAAAAAAGCTTCTCGAGTGGCGGCCTCGTACCGGCTGACGAAGTGTAGGGCGTCCCTCCACTAGATGGAGTGACGACCTGGTAAGACATGCAGGTAGTCGATGGATGCAGGTGGCTTAGGTCCGTGCTTTGTGGCATTCCTTGGGGGAGGCCTATGTTCAGCAGTGGACTTGTGAAAGGCTGTAATGATGATGAATGATGAAAAAGACTATATAATAAGGTCCGATGACAATACACTAACTTTGTGATTATGACCTAGGTATAGTTTTCTCAATAGGTTTATCACAGCTCGCGATCAATGCTTGTTGTTTAAGTATTCTTAAACGTATCTACAACAGACACAAATTACCAAGACAAAAGACACATACAGGCAGCAGCGTGAAAGTGCCTACCAAGCACTATTAAGGTTTTACTTAACGTGGCAATGCTACGCTGCAATTTTGATCAGTGTTTAGAATACGTAAATTAAGGGGCGTTATAAAATAATTATTTTTAGAGGTAATGAGGCATTTTAGTCGTCAGCAAACGCATCTACATTTTGATTCTTAACCGAGGATATACGTATGTAGGTGTTTATGAACCATAGCATCCACTTGTCACAGGTTGACTGTGTCACATTATCACATTTGTCACTCATGTTCTATTAAAACATTGTCTAGGAAGGGAGAAGCCCATATCAATCTACGGACCGTAAGTCGATGAAGAAGAGAAAGAAGATGACAGTTTTTGAAGCAAAGTACTCATTAATACAATTTCAAAGGATTATATCGTAAC